AGGTCCAGAACAAGCAAAGGCTCTAGTAGGCTGAGGCTGCAGTACAAACAGCTCTGCTACTCAAGTCATATGTTATTAGAGATATCTGTGGCAGGCACTAAACCACTGAGCCACTTAGGGACTCCCAAAAGATTTCATTTATTTATTCATGAGAGACACAGAGAGAGAGAGAGAGAGAGAGAGAGGCAGAGACACACAGGCAGAGGGAGAAGCAGGCTCCATGCAGGGAACCTGATACGGGACTCGATCCTGGGACTCCAGGATCACGTCCTGGGACAAAAGCAGGCACTAAACTGCTGAGCCACCCAAGGATCCCCCAACTACTGTAATTTTTGAGCTCAGGAAGAAACCCCAGGGACGTGCATTAGCCTTCCCTGAACATAGACAGAATAATGGCCCCTCCAAAAATGTCCATGTCCTAATCCCAGAGCCCATGTGAACATCCATGCTTTAATCCTGAAAGCTCTGTTTTACATCTCACAGGGGACTTTGAAGATGTGACTAAGCTTAAAGATCTTGGGATGGGAAGAGTTGCCTGGATTATCCAGGTAACTGGATTAACTGGATAACCTAAAATGGCACTTAAAATCAGAAATACATCCACATTGTGGTTACAGAGACAATAGACAAAGGGGGAGGGAGCACCAGTGTGAAAGCATAGTGACTGGCATTGATGAGGTCTAAGGAAAACCATGAGCCAAGGAATGGGCTTGGCCTCTACAAACCAGGAAAGGCCCTCAGCTGGCAGCCAGCGGGAGTCAGAGCAGCTCAGTATTAAAAGGAACTGAATTCTGCCAAAAACCTACAGAAAAAAAAAGATAATGGTCTTTGACGCTCCAGAAAGGAATGCAGCCCTGGCAACATTTTCATTTTAGCCCAGTAAGACTGTGTTAGATTAACCAGCTACAGAAATGGTAAAGTTATTCATTTGTGTTATTTAGAACATTTTATTGGGTAATTTGGGGCTGCTGTCCACAGGTAACTAGACTTCTCTGGTCTTTAGCTCTTCATCTGCGAAACAGTCTACTACTGAAGACGAAATGAGATGCAGGGGACAGCACCTGAAACACTTTAAAATGCTGTATAAACAAGAGATTATATTCGATTTAGAACTAGTCGATGTGGTAATCTCAGGGGAGGTACTTTTGATACAAATAGCCAATTACACTGATTATTTCTAATGCTTGAAAGTTTAGTAAGGTAAAGGAAATAAATAATTTCCAATTCTGTTTTGGTACATTAATGTTTAGCAAAATCTAAACTTAACAGAGTCATGAGGATACACATAAAAAGCCCTGTTAGTGAAGATTATATACATGTCACAGTAAGATTAAGAGACAGAATTATTGCTATTTTAATATAGCTTGTGTGGACAGGTAATTAACAAGTGCTACCAGAAACCAAAGGGCAGATTCCATTTCCATTTTAGTGTATTGAGTTTGATTTGATTATGCTGATTCTCAAGCACCAACAGCTACTTAGTATTATCAGTCTCTTGGTCCTGATTTCTTAATCACCCCGGTAATACAAAATAGCTGCTTATTTCTTGAACATGGTTCATTAGCTTGGCTCATTAATTTTGAAAGGTGCCACAGATCTTAAATAGGTAAGTGGATGGGCCACCCTTTGCTTTGGGAGATAATCATTTCCAAAGAGACTTTTAAAATTTGGGCCAGTTCATTCTAATTATTATTATTATTTTTTTTTTTTAAGGAAAATTGGACCTTGGCAGTTAAGCATCTTAAGTCAGGGAGTATTTGTTACAAGAAATCTAGCTATCCAAGCTAGTTTCAGTGAAGGGAGATAACTTCAGGGATCCCACAGGCAACTTCAAAGGTATAAGGACTGAAATACAATTATATTTATAAAACCAGGACTTGATCTAAGTCCTTAGAACAAATTATTTTAAGATTTGTGTGGAATCAGAAAAGACCCCGAATAGCCAGGGGAATTTTAAAAAAGAAAACCATAGCTGGGGGCATCACAATGCCAGATTTCAGGTTGTACTACAAAGCTGTGGTCATCAAGACAGTGTGGTACTGGCACAAAAACAGACACATAGACCAATGGAACAGAATAGAGAATCCAGAAATGGACCCTGAACTTTATGGTCAACTAATATTCGACAAAGGAGGAAAGACGATCCACTGGAAGAAAGACAGTCTCTTCAATAAATGGTGCTGGGAAAATTGGACATCCACATGCAGAAGAATGAAACTAGACCACTCTCTTGCACCATACACAAAGATAAACTCAAAATGGATGAAAGATTTAAATGTGAGACAAGACTCCATCAAAATCCTAGAGGAGAACACAGGCAACACCCTTTTTGAACTTGGCCACAGTACCTTCTTGCAAGATACATCCACGAAAACAAAAGAAACAAAAGCAAAAATGAACTATTGGGACTTCATCAAGATAAGAAGCTTTTGCACAGCAAAGGATACAGTCAACAAAACTCAAAGACAACCTACAGAATGGGAGAAGATATTTGCAAATAACATATCAGATAAAGGGCTAGTTTCCAAAATCTATAAAGAACTTATTAAACTTAACACCAAAGAAACAAACAATCCAATCATGAAATGGGCAAAAGACATGAAGAGAAATCTCACAGAGGAAGACATAGACATGGCCAACATGCACATGAGAAAATGCTCTGCATCACTTGCCATCAGGGAAATACAAATCAAAACCACAATGAGATACCACCTCACACCAGTGAGAATGGGGAAAATTAATAAGGCAGGAAACAACAAATGTTGGAGAGGATGTGGAGAAAAGGGAACCCTCTTACACTGTTGGTGGGAATGTGAACTAGTGCAGCCACTCTGGAAAACTGTGTGGAGGTTCCTCAAAGAATTAAAAATAGACCTGCCCTACGACCCAGCAATTGCACTGTTAGGGATTTACCCCGAAGATTCAGATGCAATGAAACGCCGGGGCACCTGCACCCCGATGTTTCTAGCAGCCATGTCCACAATAGCCAAACTGTGGAAGGAGCCTCGGTGCCCATCGAAAGATGAATGGATAAAGAAGATGTGGTTTATGTATACAATGGAATATTACTCAGCCATTAGAAACAACAAATACCCACCATTTGCTTCAACGTGGATGGAACTGGAGGGTATTATGCTGAGTGAAGTAAGTCAATCGGAGAAGGACAAACAGTGTATGTTCTCACTCATTTGGGGAATATGAATAATAGTGAAGGGGAATATAAGGGAAGGGAGAAGAAATGTGTGGGAGATATCAGAAAGGGACACAGAACATAAAGACTTCTAACTCTAGGAAATGAACTAGGGGTGGTGGAAGGGGAGGAGGGCGGGGGGTGGGGGTGAATGGGTGACGGGCACGGAGGGGGACACTTGACGGGATGAGCACTGGGTGTTATTCTGTATGTTGGTAAATTGAACACCAATAAAAATTAATTTATAATAAAAAAAATAAAAAAATAAATAAATAAAAAATAAAAAATAAAAAAAAACCAGGACTTGAGAAATGAGAAAATTTTATCCACCTTTTATGGAGCTTTTGGTCTTTACCTTCTGCTTGTCTCTAAGTGCTTTCTCCACCTATATGCTGATCTCTTTTTTCTACTGAGAGGCAGGCATACACATAACTAAAGTCACTGTCTCAGGCCAACTTCCATGCCACTGAAATCAATTGTACATATTATTTCTTCCCTGATAGCACTTTTTAGTTTAAGTGTAGAGAATGTGATTGATTGCTAGCTGGTTAGAGAATTAGATACTGTAAGTCGGATGGTTACTCCTAGTTCAAGGAGCTGTCGTGTTGAGGTACACAGTCCATATTTGGCTGTAGTGGTCTCCAGCTTCTAAGTGGGGTCCTCCAAGCTCCCAGTAAAGAGTGTATGGGGAGGAAGACACCTTCTTTATATTTAATCTCACTTAAAGGTTTAGTTTTTTGCACTTGAAGAAGGAGTCAATTTCCTATTAGTAAAAAACCTTAGTCAAGGGCATAAAGCTAACTTCAAAGCATTATATATTGCCTTCTTTCATAAAGAACTAATGAATTAAGCTAGCAAAAGATCTCATCTCCAACATACATGTCATAAATATTGTTGCAAGTAATAATTTTTGTCCTTTCTTAGTTTATAATTCTAATCATTCTACAGTCATTTCTGTTAAAAATATGAATAATATGTGTTCAGAGTTGGGATTATACCAAGGTTGCTGTTTTTTCCCTTAAGAAAGAACTGATATAATGCATATCACCTTGGATGGTTGTAAAGACCATATGGAAGTATTTTTCTGCTTTCTGAGGGAAGCTTCTGGGACATCTAGTATCAAATATATATTGATTTATAACTAGTAAATCAAAATCAAGTAAAATTCAAGTTAGCAATAAAAACCTGAGCTCACAGACTCTAAAAACAAAGCCAAAGCCAAAATCTAAATTCCCCCTTATAGGAGAAACTCTGTCCTGTTTTATCTATGGTGCTTCATTACAAGAAACAAAAATGTTATTATGAGCAATGCTACTAGAAATTTTTATGAGCCTGGTAATCTTGTGAGAAGTATTTCTAAGGCTGCTTAAATTTTAGAACTCCAATTAATTTGAAGTTTATGGAGAAACTGATTACAAAAGGATTTTTTCTTTTTTATAGATTTATTTCTTTATTTGAGAGATAGAGAGCAAGTGAGAGTGAGCAAGAGTGCAAGTGAGGGGGAGGGGCAGAGGCAAAGAATCTCAAGCTGACTTCCCCCTGAACTAAGCACAGATGTAGGGTTTGATCCCAGGACTCCAAGATCATGACCTGAGCCAAAATCAGAGTAGGATGTCCAACCGACTGAGTCACCCAGGTGCCCCATGAAAGTATTTCCTGGTAAAATTTTGAGACTGGACCTATTAGCCAGGACAATAAAGGACTAGGATAAAAGACTAACAGAAAGGCCATCAGCTTTCCTGAAGTTCCCTTCACTAACGGTTTCTATTTTTTCTGATCCAATAAACAGGATAAGGGACATCAAGGATACAAATGACTGAGCTGCTCCTCCTTGGTGTCTCCTGTTTTTCATGGAGGGGCCTCGGATCTTGCGTACTTACGGTAAGGCTGCATGGACTGAATAAGCCACAAAGTCAGGAAAAAAACAAAACAAAACAAAACACCCAAACTATGTACTGTTGTCTTTTGTACTTTCTGCTGGAGAAGAGACTAAAGTAAGCTATTGCTTGCTGACATCATGGTAATATAACACCATGTTCTATTTCTTTGTCACTAGGCCTTTGGTATACCTGCCCATGACTTACACAGAACATTATTCTTTTGAGTTTCATTTCAGGAAATTGAAGCCCTGAAAAAATAAATCTCAAAACACTATTGTCAGGCTTTTCATTAGGACACAACACTGGAGCCAGACAGACTGAATTTAGATCCTGGCTCTGCCAAGCTATAGTATGTTTGTCAAATTTTTAGACCTCTCTTTGTCTCAGTTTACTCAGCTTTGAAATCAAAATAAAATGACTTCTGATTCTAAATATAGTCAGATCCTCTCAAAAAATCCCATAATAATGGAAAAATGTATATAACATCTGTTTGGGGCATTGGACAACCAACAGCAGAATGCTGTGGTCTATGGGTAATGGAAAGACACATGAAATATTTCATCCCAGCTCTCTGCTTGAAGACACTTTCCCAACTAGTATTTTTAAGTGGAAAACAAACGGACATCAATAGTCTCATTATGCAAAATAAAGAGATGGGTTTTGGGAATGCTAAGGTGAGTGAGATTTGTAGGACACAAATTCAAAGTAGAAGGAGCTGGGTACATAAACTCACTGAGGGATCCCCTTGAATATTTGGCTGAATACTCAACTATGTCAGGTCAGAACAAGATCCCATGAGATCTGGAAAAAAGCAGCTAATAGGGGACAGTGAGGTGAATATAGGTTCTAGATATTGTTCTGGGAAACATTGAGATTGGAATTAGTGCAGAGACTTCACTGAAAACCCTGGACATTTCACTGCTATCCCAGAAAAGCCTACCATATGACTAGGGTTCATCTAGTCTTAGAGTCAGGGATACTTTAGATGCTCTAACAAGCTAAAAACCAAGTTTCCACAGGGATAAAATGGATCCGTCCATATATTAACTATATGACACAATAAGTCTCAGTACTCTCTTACGTAAGATAAATTCGCTTTCAAAACTGTATCATTGAAAATGTTTGGCACAAATTAACAAGAATGTCATCTAAAATGAGAATAAACAATCAATAGACATAGACACAGAGATGTCACAGATGTTGAAATTAGTACACAAGGACTTTAAAACTGCTACTACAATATCTAAGAATGTTTAAAAATGTGGGTATAATAAATAATCTCAGAGAAATCAATACTATAAAGCAAATGATGTTATTCAAAGAAAAAAAATACATTACTCGAATTGAAAATTTTCCTGAATATACTTTCATTGGTACATGAGATACCAGAGGATCAAGGATCAGGAAACTTGCCAACAGGTTAATAGAAAGCATTCAACCTGAAGCATGGACAAAAAATAACATAACACAACACACAACATAAAATAAAATAAAATAAAATAAAATAAAATAAAATAAAATAAAATAAAATAAAATAAAATAAAATAAAATAAAATAAAATAGACTCAGAGACCTGTGGGACATTATCAGGTGGCCTTACATATATGAATTTTGAGTCCCATAAAGGGAGGAGACAGGGACCAAAGGGAAGACAAATATTTGAAAAATAATGATCATAGTTCTCTGAATTTGTTGAGAATCATGAACCCAAAGATCCCAGACATTTGACAAGTCCCAAGTAGATTACACATCATGAAAACCACACCCAGGTACATAGTAGTCAAACTGCTAAAAATCAAAGATAAAGGGGACATTTTCAGAAGTTAGAGAAAAAGACACATTTCATATAAGAGAAGAACACTAAGAATGAACTTTCTTTCTCATCAGAAATAATGTAAGCCAGAAGACAGTGGAACTACAGTGTTCAAGTTATGAAAGAAAAGGACCAGTGTAGAATAAAGAAAGATGGAGCTCAGTGGAAGTGAAGAGAAAATCTACAAGGAGACCCATGCCATTGTTACAATGTCAGTTAACTTTTGACAAAGGCATTATGGCAATTAATTCCAACAGGGGAAGGTAAAGTCGTGCTTTTTATCCCCCTAAATTAAATGATGCTAGAGCTGAAACTATGTGGGGAAAAAAACAAAAACAAAACTTTAACACCTACTTGATACTATACTGAGAAAAGGAAAAGTTAAGATGGCTCATAAGCCAAAACATAAAAGTCACATCTATAAGGTTTCTAAAAGAAAACATAGGAGACTTTCTTTATTATCATGGTGTAGAAAAAAAATTGTCTTATCTAGCACACTGAAAACATTCAAGCTGAAAGAAAAAAAAAATGACAATTTGGACCTCATCAAAATTTAAAGCTTCTGCTCAGTAAGATACTCTGTTAAATAATGAAAAGCAAAAAAAATAATAATAATGAAAAGCAAAGCCACACGCAGGAAAAAAAAATATCCTCTGTGTGTGTGTGTGTGTGTATATATATATATATATATATATATATATATATATATATATATATACCTATTTCTGACAATGGATTTGTAACCACAATATACAAAGAGCCCTTACTAGTCAATAATAAGAATACAAACAGTTTCAGTTGCAAATAGGCAAAGGACTTTAAGAACAGATGATTTGCAGTAGAAGACAAACGGTCAGTAAGTGAACAAAAATATGGTCAACATCACTATTCATCAGGGACATTCAAATTAAAAGCAAAACAAGATATCACTACATACCCATAAGCATGGACATATTTAAAAAGGGTGAGGACACCAAATGTTGGCGAGAATGGGGAATGATTGGAATTCCCATACATTGTTGGTGGGAACATTAAATGATACAAGCACTTTGGGAAGAAGCCTGGTTGTCTCCTATAAAATGAAACAAGCACCTTACCTATGGCCTAATACTTCTAATCCAGAATAGCTCGAAACTGGAAAGAATACAAATGTCCATCAATAGAAAAAAGAGTTAAATGGATGGTGGAGTACTCACACAATGGCTTGTTATGTTATGTTTATATTACTATATTATGTGACATTTATGTTACAAAAATGCATGAATCTGAGTCAAAGAAGCCAGGCACAAAAGAACACACACTTTGGGATTTCACTTATATGTAGTTCTAGAACAGGGTAAACTATAGGGTGGTGATAGAAATCAGGAGAGTGGTGGTCTCTGGCCGTGGTTCAGGAAAGGGAGCTTTGCTACAAAGGGCATGAGGAAACGTCGTGAGAGTAAGGACAGTTCTGTATCTTATATGCATTTATCCAAACTCATTTTTCTATATGTACATTATACTTCAATTTCTTTAAAAAATTTTTTTATTGATTTATTCACAAGAGACACACAGAGAGAGACAGAGACATAGGCAGAGGGAGAAGCAGGCTCCCTGAGGGGAGCCCGATGTAGGACTCGATTCTGGGACCCCAGATCACGACCTGACGCTCAACCACTGAGCCACCCAGGTGCCCATCATTATACTTCAATTTCAAAAAAAAAAGAGGTAACCATAGCAACTACTTTGTGTTGTACAAGTTAAATAAGCTATATATATATATATATATATATATATATATATATATATATATATATAATGCTTACAACAGTGTGATATATTAGGAGTAATTTAGAAGCATTAGGAATTACTATTCTAATTAGTGTTATTATGTCTAACGCCCTATTCATTTAATGTACGACAAGGGGCTCTCACAGGTATTCCAACCAAGGAATATATTTCAGAATGTTAGAAATAATACCTCCCGTTGTATAGAGTAGGACTTTTCTGGTATTAGCTCTGCTGTGGAAAAGGCATCACAGCTGTTTCTCCTCATGAAACCTCTTGACACTGTGCAAATCTCCCATCTGCCAGCTGACTTCTAGATGGTTCAAGGTTTTCCTTTCCATTCAATTATCTGGAATTTTAAATACAAGTAATGAATCCCTTGATCAAATGCTATAGGATCAGACTGCTTTGATTGGGCCCTCCCCTCCAGAGATCCTAAGCTTCCACACAATGGAACATCTAAAGCACATTTAAACAGAACATGAGGTCGTTTAGAAGATGGGTTTTGTGGTAATCACCTCAAAACCCGTAGCCTCAAGCATTCATCCAATGGAATCCAACAAGAAAGACCTTCTACCTGAACTCTCTAGGCCTGTGCTTCATGGACACAGGGCAGCCGCGCTAACATTTCAGCAAGATGCTGGGCTGTGAATATCAGACAATTACCTTCTTCAAGTGACAAAGAGAAACCAAATGTTACAGTGATGATGATACTAAACACCAGGGCTAATTTTTTTTTAATTTTTATTTTCTTAATTTATTATTAATTATTATTATTATTATTATTATTATTATTATTATTATTATTATTTAAGGAAACGTGTTTTTCAGGCCTCTGACTTGGCAAGAAAACAAACACGGGACACCTGCTGATGAGGCAATTGTGAAGAGTTGAAGAGGACTATTTCCCACCGGCCGTTGACAGTGTGAGCCAGCTGAAAATCATTTCTTGGGGGTCCTGTCTGTTTTTACAAAGGTTTCCAAGTTAAAAACATTCTATCCCCCTGGATGGTACAGGTTCCACTGCTGGTGAATGCTTATGAAGCAGGCAGGCGCTCAGCGGAAAGATCAGAGGAGACGAAGGGACCGAAAATATTTATTAAAGTAGCAAAAAATGGAACCATACTGTAAGCTCTAATCTGCTTTGGTAGAATTCTTTCGCTTTCTTTAAAAACCAGATGTAATAAATGTCCCCCAGTTGGCTGGTAGTAGCCTCATTACCCCATTTCCACATAATTGCTGGGTTTGATCAAGCAAAACTGAACAGCAGCTGGCCCAGATATCAGTTGGAGCTTCCATTTTAGGTAAAGTTTGCAGAGCACACATTCTCCCCATTACACCCCACCTTTATTTCCTGTGACACGGACCCTCCAGACCAGACGTGAATCCATAAAAGTAATTTTAATATTCTATACGTGCATTTTTATATTTACAACAAAACAAACAAAAAATCTTAGTTTTGTGTAAATTTGGTAAGTTTCTTTTCACACATAATATCATTTCAGGCACTCATTTACCAGACCCTTCTTATCATTCAATTAGAGTAGCTCTAAAAACGCATTTTCTCTGAAAATGCTACACAAAATTGGCTCGGGTGAGGTATCCCTGTAAACCTACAGACTGATTTCAGCAAAAGTCAACCTACAGGCCCCCAAACACCCACCAATCCAATCAAACCACACACCAATAAAACTCTATTTAGAAACCTCAGCTTTTCACCTTTTTAGAAGGTCAGTATGCCCACCACTAAATTGTGCAAGATCTATTTAGGCAAGACAACAAAGAGCAGAACTAAACAGACACATGCACAAATCCCTCATCAACGAATACCCTATAAAGTGAACACCTAACATTTAGCTTTTGATAATCAAGGCATCCATTCCAAAAACGTCCATCTGGAATCAACATATTGGCAACTATTAGGACACAGCTACTAATAAAAACAATTAGATAAGAAACCAGGCGGCCCCAACCCACGAAGCTCCCCTCTTAGAAAGCCCTTGGGTAACCTCGCAAACCGACCACAGTAGTGACCACCAGCCCCCCTCCCCTCCCCCACCATCCTGCTTTTCCCTTCCCACATCTCAATCTGGGATTGGGATTAAGTTTTAAATTTTAAATTCAAAGAGTTTTAAAACTCCTAAGTTTTAAATTCAGCAAAGGCATCCCATCCTTGTACCCTAAAAAAGAAAGGCACCCCTCTGCTCTCCCTCACGCCATGTGGCCCTTGGGTACCTGTAGAGAATAAATCTTTTTTTTCACAGTTCCTGGGTGCATGTTGAAGAGCATCTTGCAATCCTAATAAGAACCACAAGAGGGATCCCTGGGTGGCTCAGCAGTTGAGTGTCTGCCTTCAGCTCAGGGTGTGACCCCCGGGGTCCTGGGATCCAGTCCCACGTCGTCGGGCTCCCTGAGTGGAGCCTGCTTCTCCCTCTGCCTGTGTCTCTGCCTCTCTCTGTGTCTCTCATGAATAAATAAAATCTTAAAAAAAATAATAAAGAATCACAAGAGCTGATTCCCCTAAGACACGGGCTTGAGGAGTGGACTGTCTGCAGAGGCTAGTCATTAGTAAGTAGAGGCCCAGGCGCGTGCCCAGGAGGAAGCCGACACCCAACGAAATTCATTCCCACTGTTTTTTCAAAAATCAAATCAAAGGACATGCTTCTTAAACTACAACTTAGTTTTATACAAAAATCCAAAACAAAACAAAACAAAACTGCTTTGAGCATGCAAATATGTCTTCAGTGTCCCACTAATTGTGATAAAGTTTTTGCCAAATCTAAGTGAAGTAGCTCGCAAATGTATCGCACAAATGCCATACACGTCTACACACATCTTAATAGCACAGATCAGAAACACCAGCAGGACCACAATTTCTCTTAAAATGTATTTCAATTAATCTCTAGAGGTACAGTGTGTTGGGGAGGGGGTGCCTCATTGCATTTGCACCTTTTTATTTATTTGTTATTAATTATAAAAACAGAGTAACCACATTTTGACAATTGGGGATGAGGAGAAAAAGCCAAAATATATTTGTAATTAGTCTAATACAATCGGTGTTTTCTCTCTCTCTCTCTCTCTCTCTCTTTTTTTTTTAAAGAAAAGGAACCCTCTTCCTGCTGGGAAAATATGGAACTCATTTCACACTTGTTGGCACACACTCACGTGGCACCACGTAGCTAATCTTTTAATATGTCACTCCCGTGGTTGGGGATGAAGACAAGCTAGCAGTCCGACGAGCACTTTCATTTTTAGTATTGTCCCACCTGCTGGCACTTTGGGACGTTTTTTCCCCAAAGCCTCTGAAGGCAGAAAGCACCGCTTGGCCTTCTCACAACTATTAAATTGCTGTAGACCGTTTCTCCTTGATTCCAGGCAGCACCCCCTTTGCAGGTTCATTTTGCTTTCTCTCCTTTCTTAGCGTCACAACTCCTTATAAGAAAAGTTTTTCTTGTACTTATTGAATAATCTTGACTGACTCACTGGTCCAAATAATGTTTTAGGCATCAGAAAGGACCACTAATATTTCAATACAACTTACTAATCATTGAGCTTTCTTTTTTTAAAGGATTATGTTTATTTATTCATGAGAGACACAGAGAGAGACAGAGACACAGGCAGAGGGAGAAGCAGGCTCCCTGCAGGGAGCCCGATGTGGGACTCGATCCCATATCCTGGGATCATGCCCTAAGCTAAAGGCAGATGCTCAACCCTGAGCCACCCGGGCGTCCCTCATTTAGCCTCTTTAGAGCTGAATATTCCCTATCGCCTCCCTGTGACTTGGTTTCCTCATGCACAAAGGCAGCGATCAACTGGATCTACCTGAAAAACTACAAACTTACAGTCAGTACCTAGTGCCTTGCAAATCAGTGCCTCGCCCCTTGCAAGTCAGCACCTAGCTCTTCGTAAATCAGTACTTTGCCCCTTGCAATCAGCACCTAGCCCCTTGCAAATCAGCACCTAGCCCCTTGTAAATCAGCACCTAGCCCCTCACAAATCAGTACCTCGCCCTTTGTAAATCAGCACCTAGCCCCTTGCAATCAGCACCTAGTCCCTTGCAAATTAGTACCTTGCCCCTTGCAATTAGCACCTAGTCCCTTGCAAATTAGTACTTGCCCCTTGCAATCAGCACCTAGCCCCTTGCAAATGAGTGCCTCTCTCCTTGCAAATCAGCACCTAGCCCCTTGCAAATCAGTACCTCACCCCTTGCAATCAGCACCTAGCCCCTTACAAATCAGCACCTTGCCCCTTGCATTTAGCACCTAGCCACTTTTTCTCCTGGCTAAAAGTGACCTTGCTACTTAGAGCCCCCTCCCTCGGACGCCTCATCCCACAGCAAGCTGACTTCTATCCCCACTCACTCCATTGCACCTTCTCTTGCCAGGTGACCCACCCACCCTGCTTGCTAAATCCATTAAGCACGATTCAATCATTATTTAATGTGAGCTCTTGGAAACATTCTGTACTGTGCGCTATTCTTCCTGGAACGCTTCCTCTCTCGCTTCCACGGTGCCCTCACCCCCCAGGCCCTCCTCTGACCTCTCTAGCACTCTCTTCTTCAGGTCTTATAAGTCTTTGCCCCCCAAGATGTCCCATCCTTACTGTTACCTCCTACTTCCAGCATCATCCTCTTTTTACCTGGGTTACAAATTTGCAGCCTTGTTCCTTTTTTTTTTTTTTTTTTTGCAGCCTTGTTCCTTGTGATCCCTCCCAACATTGCCGACAGGGCCATCTTCTAAAATAAAAATAGGACTAAGTGTTTAATTAAGATCCCTTGAAGTTTTATGTTGCCCTCAGGGTAAAGTTGAAAATTGTTTAACAGTTTGCAAAGTCCTGCTTACTTTCTGGCTTTAATTCACCATTCCTTCTAGGATCCTGTCTTCCCAGCACATGTGAAAGGGCATTCTTGTGAGCGAGTTGTTAGGCCTGTAACCCCCAGCAGCTGCACCCACTGACACCTGCCCCAGAATACACCTGCCCTCCTCACTGTGTCCCCATTCATTTGCTTATCGCTTCATTATTTAGTCTGGGGCGAGCTGTTACTTTCAGGACAGGGTCTGGGACTTGTTTACCATTATAGCCTAAGCACGGTGCCCGGCCCAGAGGGGCACATTTCATAACTGCATCCGGGTGAGCTAACCACAGAATGATCTTTGAGGTTATTTTAAATAATGACATTCGGTGATGCTGAGCAATAGGATTAGTATTATGGTCATGATTTTCTTGAAGATCTTCCATCCAAATGAGCTGTGCTCTGTGAGGGTTGCTGGGCATGGTGAAGTGGGTAAAGTAAAACTATTTCTTACCCTCTTTGATGTATCCAATCTCAGATTTTCTCTCTCCCTCCAACAGCAGGCTGGGACTTCTCCCACTGGGCTCCTGGATTTACACAAAGTCCCTCTGGTGTTTTTTTTTTGGGAAAGATGGTAGAAAATGCTTATTTTGCCATATTGATGACATCCTTCCCAGGGTTTCTAGTGCACTCTTGATGGCTATTTCTGGGGCGTCCAATTTCACAGCATTATAGATGATGCTGCCAAGTGCATTGTTGCTCATGGGGTTTTTGTTTGTTTCTGCATAAGTATGAGCATTTCTTTAGGATATATTACTAGGAGTTGAATTGCTGGACTATCGGGATATACCTCTTCCGCTTTACTAGAAATGGCCAAATTGCTGTCAAAATTGCTGTTGAAAATATACATTCCCAGGGCACCTGGGTGGCTCAGTCAGTTAAGCATCTGATTCTTGGTTTTGGCTCAGGTTATAATCTCTGGATAGTGGGATCAAGCCCTGAGTCAGGCTCTGTGCTCAGTGGGGAGTCCACTCAAGATTCTCTCTCTCTCTCTCTGTCCCTCCACTTGTGCTTGCTCTCTCCTTAATAAGTAAATAAATAAATGTGTGTGTGTGTGTGTGTGTGTGTGTTCCC